ATGATTCTTTTTAATTTGATTAAAGCTTGAAGTTATTAATTATCAAATTTATATATACTATTTTTACCATATTTTAGTTTATATAAAATAATAAACATGTAAATTGTAATATTTCCTGTAAAAATTGTTTTCTTAATCTATTTGAATTGTTTATCACTTTATGTATATTACTTATTGTATGATATTACTTGCAGTTTTTTGTTTTATTTATTTTCAGTATGCATATACATATGTATGCACTATATATTGTCAGGACCTATTCTAGGAAAATAATTTGGGCGGCGCACAGTGAGACAGAAAGGTGAAAAAACAGCAAAAATTATATAACTATCATATATAAACATGCGATACATCAGTACTATTGTATTTTGGGTCAAAAAACTTAAATTTGCTATCAAAAATAATTTTTACGGGTACCTATGACACATACAATTTGCACTTACGCATGTAAGTGTCATTTATGTGCACAAAATATGATTTATATGAAAAAATCAGATTCCTTGATCCAAAATACCATAAAATAGAATACCACATAATTTTAATACAATTTTTACCTCTGCCTAAGGCAGAGGTAAAAATAGAGTACTACACATGCATATATGTGTTAGAGCCTTTTACGGGCAAAATACTGACATGATTAAAAAAATTAGATTCTTCAAACCAAAATATTAACTAATTAAAAAGAAAAATTAGATTCAAAAAATAAAAATTTAATTAAATAATAAAGTAATATTAAAATATATTAAATACAAAATAAATATTTATTTTATCGAATTTTTCTTTCAAGAAAAGAAAATAAAAAAACCTAATATTAATAAAAAAAAGCTTTATTTCATTGTTATGGCATTAACAATAATAAAACTTCAGGGGTAAATGTTTTTCCATTTTTAAACTTGTATTTTTTGAAACAAATGTTTAATATTACAAGACAACTTCTAATCAAGAGGTATTGGTACTGGTTTATCATAACATTTTTTCTAGATATCTTGGCTGTATGGTTCAATCTAACTTTGCAAATAATAAGAGCTGTAATTTCATAGCAATACTGGCCAAAACTTTCAGAGTTTAACTCATAACAGGAGCATACTGATACTAATATTGTCCTCAATCTAATAATTACATCTGCTACCACTCTTGTTATATCAGCAAAAGTTTTAGCATTTTTAAATATCCTTCTGGCAGTGTTCCCATCACTAGTGTTGCCAAATTCCTGTTTGGGCATATTAACTATAAGATTTAGTTCCTCTCTAAAACTCAGTTAAATATTCTTTTTTCTATTTTTTATTTAGGCTTTTTCAGCAAGAGTCTTGGCAAAGTATTTTTTAATGTCTAGCTTTTATCCTAAATGTATCCCAAATACTTGTTTATAGACATTTTAACTGGTGCTAAAACTACATTTAAAGTTAATTAGAGCTTTAAACCCCCAGCAAACATTTTCATAGAGTTGGCATTCCATAAAAGTTAATACCCTTGTCAGAGTATGATTAAACAAATCCCGTAGAGGAGTTGAAACAGATGTTTCTGTCACAATTAAACCCTTAGGATAACATTTGTTTCTCATTCTTAATTTCATGAAGTGAAAGATAAATACCTTATTTATATATTATCAATGAATTTTTAATAATTTGATACTGTTCATTAGAAAATTCACACTGAATTTTTAAACTCAAGGCATCTACGGCTTTTGTTTTTATCGGAAAACTTCTCTCTGTGCTTTTATCTTTTCAGAATTTGTAGCTCTTTTTATGAGAACAACAAAGGTATTATTGTTAGGATTCTCTAGTGGCTTTTTTATTGAAGCTAATGCAAATGCTTCAGCAGGATGCTCAGCCAATTTAGCAACCTTTAACAAGATAATATTTAATATTTAAGCGTGTAAACTTTTTTATTAAGTGGGTTGATTTATTATTACTATGAATAATAATTGATTTATTATTACTAGAGATCTATCACCTAAGTCTTCCATTCCTTGCACTTTCTACCTGGACCTGCTGCAACACTTTTTTTGTCAACTGTTACATTTTTGTCCAACCAAGTTCACTCGTGTTCCAAGTCTTGAAAAGATTCTTGAATGTTTTTGCAACTTTGATCAGAATTTAAATATTATTTGAGTTTTCTTAAGATTTATCATTTCAGATTTGTCAATACTTTCATAATATAGACCTCCAGTCTACATAACTCACGTAGAAGAGCCTTGAGTATATGATCATGATTAATTCCTGACTCTTGAATTACAGGAACAGAATAAATTCTTTTCATGATGAATATAAGCAATGAATTATTGTTAGTTATTTTATACATAAGTTTTAATTTTAAAACAGGCACTATGCTATCAAATCTTGCATACTTTGGTTTCTGAGGATTGATAATTAGCACCATCTGCTTCAGCATGAGTTTTTTTAGTAATAGAAACTAAATGTATTATTTTTATGATGAATGTAAGCAATGAACGCTTGTTCGCTACTTTATACGCTTTAATCAAAAATTTATAGTTTTAATTAAAAACAAAAAAAAAATGAAGTAAAGGTCTTATTTAAATTGGGCCAAATGAATTTTATTTTTACCTATCAAATGGAAAATGTTAAAATTGCCATGGAATCTAGTGGAATCTCTTAGTTTTTAAACTAAAATCTTAATTAAATTAGTTTAAAAAAATTATTTTTGAGATCTCAGTAATAAAAATCTAAAATTAAAATTTGTTATTTTAATTTTAGATTTTTAACATATGACTTCAAACTAAATTTCATAGTAATACTTATATGTAATATATTTCATAGTAATACTTATATGAAATATATTTCATAGTAATACTTATATGTAATATATTTCATAGTAATACTTATATGTAATATATTAAAAATCTAAAATTAAAATAATAAGTGGTCTAGAATAGCCCCTGATTGACAATTTTAATGCTTTAGGTGCATTGTAGCTTTTATTTTTCAAATATTTGTAAGATTCAATAAGATTTAAATTTTATTTTATTTTTTAATTTTATTCCACAAAAGCGATCCCATAGATTAAAAGAACTCAATAATATTAGCAAGTTGCATAATAAAATTTGCTTTCAATGGTTTTATATGACAATTGAAATAATATTAGATTTTAAAAAACTTGAAAACATGCTATTTTACCATGGAAAACCCATGGAATTTCTATGGGTATTTGGAACACCTTTCCATGGAAAACTCATGGGTTTTCCATGGGAATACCATGGATTTTCCATAGAAACGTGTTCCAAATACCCATGGCAATTCCAATGGTTTTTTCATAGATTTTCCATAGAAATTTTCTGTATGGGTATTATTGGTCCAAAGAGAATTTAGAAAACAAAACATCAGAGTTATATTTACTTTAGCTCCCAATTTAAATAACATATTGTGCAACAACAAAACAAAACTACCTCTGAACTCAAATCCAAGTGGTTACCAACTTAAAACTTAAAACCAAAAAAAAATCATTTCAAGAGGTGCGGAACACCAAAGAACCAGTAAAAATCAAAAATGGTAGAATTCAGGAGCCACGGATCATTCTAGAAAATGCTGTGGTAACTTTAATTGGCTGAATCCTAAGACCTTGGCAGTCATTCCAGAATACAAAATTAGAAAAATTAGAGAATGCTTAGAGACTAACAAAGCAAGAGTTTGACATGAGATAAGTATTGGGCAAGCTGTTCTAAATCGAGATGACAAGGATTATTTTAAAACAAAAACTTGGGACCCATTTTGATAAAAACTTAACTGACGTCACAATTATATTATTTTATTGGTTTTTATATTTCAATGTCTTCTTTTTTAAACGTTTTGCTTCATGTTATTTTATCTTTTTTTATTACCTGTTGACACTGACCACAATAGGTCAGCAAAATATCGTTAATTTATTATTATATCAAAATATATTTTAAAATAGTTATACGCTGCCTTTTATTTATTGAAATTAACTTATATATTCATATAAATATATGGCTCTTAAATTCATATATATATATGGCTCTTAAAACAACTTTGAGAAAAACCTGCTCCCACCCCCTAAATGTGTTCTATCTAAAACAAAAATACTAGGTTCACATTTTTTTTGAATAAAAATTATTTTAAAGGGTCCCTCAAGACCCTTTATATATTTAATAGGTCCCTAATATTTTCAAAAAAAAGTTTTTTAAAAATATGTCAACCTGGTACTCAAATGAAGCAAAATTTTGTAAAAATTTCAAAAATAGTATTCATTTCAAAAAAGTACATAAAAAAATGGGTTTTTTTTAACAAAAATAAAAAACAAAAAAAATGCATTATAAATGTTTTCTTATGATAGTTTTGATAAATAAATTAAAATTTTTTCAAAATGAATACTATTTTTGAAATTTTTACAAAATTTTGCTTCATTTGAGTACAAGGTTGACATATTTTTAAAAAACTTTTTTTTTGAAAATATTAGGGACCTATTAAATATTCAAGGGTCTTGAGGGACCCCTTAAAAAATTTTTTATTCAAAAAAAATGTAAACCTAGTGTTTTTGTATTAGAAACATGTGGGTGTGGGAGCAGATTTTTTTCAGAAAAAGTTGTTTAAGAGCCATCCTAATATATATATATATATATATATATATATATATAAACAATTTTAAAATATATTTTGCAAAATAGAGTGCTCAATGTTTTTAAAAAAATAGAGCAACAATAAATTAGTCCAAAATCACTTAACAAATATTTTTCATTTAACATTGTGTTTCATCAATAAATGGTGTCGCAGTTATTGGCATAACATTAATTTTTTTAACAAGTTTTTTTTTCTCAAGTATCATTTATTTATTTTGCTGCATCATTATTTATTTTGCGGCATCATTTATTTCAATTATATTTAAATTAATACTTAAAGTATTTCTATGAAATACTCTGAGTTTTATTAATCTATTTTTCAGCCTACAAGACAGAAAGCAATAAAGTGTCATAAAAGTCTCTTTACGACACTCAAATTTAAAAACTTGCTTAAAAACTAAACAAATACCTGACCAGGGGAAATACGCCCACAAGTTGGAGATATTTCAAGTGGACAATTTGGTGGGGGAACAAATTCAAACATTGTAAAACCAACAGGAAATGGAATACCGTTTCCAATTCGTGGAATAAAACTTTGATTATTGTTTTCATGATGATTGGTTATTAAAACATGAGTTGAAGAACTGTCCATAACTGCAGTTGGTTTAAACTTTATTATCTGTTCAGAAAGAACAAGCGGCGGCAAAACACCCACACCTTTACAGCGTAAGTAAAATTTTCTCCCAATATGAGACTTGCAAACAAGTTCAAAATTGTATTCCTTCAAAATAAAATATATAAAATAAAGATAAAATCATTTTGGTTATCTTGGTTAATAATAAACAATAATTCATTTTTGTAAATTCAACCTCTGCTTTTTTTGGATTAAAGAACAAAATGATATCCAGTAATTCATTTGGAAGAACTGTTCCAAAACCATCATTTGGCTGAATTTCAATAGCCTAAAAAAAATTTGATATTATAAAAACACTAACAATATTGAAATATAGTATTTTTTAATTGCAAATCTCAACAAAATCTGGCAAGATCACAACAAAAATCTGAACTTTAAATCTAAGTAATAAAATAATATCAAATTGAGTTTCTCAAACAGGATCCTAGGATCCTGTTTTCCCAGGATCCCATTTTCCCAGGATCCCGGGGATAAAAATGGCAGAGGATTTCCCAGGATATCATTCTTATATCTCCGAATATAACTTTTTTTAACTTTACGTATGATAAATGTTTGAACTAATTCGACCAAAAATAAGAAAAATATTATTGCATTTAGTTTTGTTTTATGTGTTCATGCCTGATATTAAAACTAGCACAACAAGAAATGTTATTGAAACTATCTTAAACTATCCAACTCAATAAATGCATTGTAATGCAATGTTTTATTTTTTTTCGTTATTAAAAAATATGATTAAAAAATAAAAAAGATTTCTTGCGATGAAAACAGTAAGTTTGATTTTTAAACTTCTAAATTATTGAAAAGTTAAACTTTTTCTATATCGAATTAGTAAAATATTTAATAATTTTTGTATTTAAAAAATGGCAAACAAAAGACATTTAAAGTCATACGTAAGATAACATACATATGTAAGAAATATTTGTAACTTTACTTTTAGTTGTTTTACAATTCAATTTAGTTATACCATGTCAATTGTAAACCGATTGAAAGCATGACAGTATTTTTGTAAAGAAAAATCTGGCAAATCTGCAATTTGCAAAAAGTACAATTTAAAGATAATATGCAAAGAATTTTCGACAAGTGGGCTCCTATGTCATTTAAAAAATGCACATAAGGATTTGGATTTAAATATGAAGCGTCTACATAAGACGATGAAGCGTCTACATGAGAGATACTGATACAAAGATACTGGTTCGGAAATTAAAATTATGAAAATGAAAATCACATTTTTTGTTAAACAGAAGACTATCAAGTCAGCAGTGTCAAAGTCAGCAACGGTGGATGGCTTCTCAATAAATGCCATAACAAAAAGTAAATTCATTATTCGTATGTTATGGGTATTATAAAAAAACAAAATGATTTTTTTTTTTTTTTTTTTTAATTTGCATTCACTCCCAACAAGGCTGCAAGCAACCACTATTAAGTTGGGAGTTACTAGGAAAAAAAAGAACAGAGTTATAAAGCAAGGAAACGGTTGACAGAAGACTTGAAAAGTTGAAGGTTGTTTAAGTCAGGAAAACATAAAGATGGGAGAGAGTTTCAAAGGATTGAAATGCGGGGAAAAAAACTAGATGAATAAAAGTTTTTAGAGCATGCAGGGACAGATACAGTAAACGAATGAGACTTAGCTGAATGACGAGTAAAACGAGAATGAATTTTAGTTGATGGAACTAGAGATGATAACTCCTTTGAGCAGTGACCATGATAGTATTTGTAGAAAAGAGAAAGAGATGCAACTTTACCACGATGGGAAAGAGGTTCAAGCTTAGCAGATAGTCCAGGTCCAACAACATTTACAATGCGTTTTTGAACCTTGTCAAGAAGAGAAAGTGAATCGTTAGAAGAACCAGCCCAAATATGACAACAGTATTCCATACAGGGACGAATAAGAGATTTGTAGAGGTAGAGAATGAAATCAGAAGAACAAACTGTGATTTTAGAGATAACAAAAGAAATATCTAGCAGGTTGGTATTTTCTTTATCAATAGACAAACATATGTCTTTAAAAAATTGATGTTATTTAAATGTAAATTTACACTTATCAGCAAAATTTTGGAACCTGGGAATGACTTCAATAGCTGGATCACTTCCTGCAGAAAAAATTGTTGATCTAGTTGAAAATAAACTGTCAGATTTCAGCTTATCAATTAAAAACCACATCATAGCTAGTGTCACTGACGGAGCGTAATGAAAAATTTGGACTGCTAAGTGGTATTGAACATCAGCTGTGTGTTATGTGATGTTTTTTACAAAAAGTCAGGTTCTTCAGCAAAATATATTGAATTTGAATTACAGTTTCAAGATTTGGATGAAAATTTGAGTGATTATGATGAGTTTGATGATGTATTTGACTGTAATGATGAGTCATACAGCTTAACAGGTGCTATGTTTATTGATGATTTACAAAATAGCGTAAATATTAGCGTTAACAATTCAGAAGGTTCAAAAAGTGGTTCTAATGTTTCGCAAATTACCTCTTAAAAATGAAGTTTTACAAATGTACGTAAAATCTGTTTCATAAAAAACTTAAGCTGATATTATATGTCAAATCGAGGTGGAATAATATTGTTGCAATGCTAGAAAGATTCCTTAAAGTAAAAACATGTATAATAAAAGCAATGATTGATTTAAAAGAAGTTCTGAATATCTTTGAAGATGAGTATGTGATTATGAACAACATAATAATTTCTGTGCAACCGATAAAAGTTGAAATAGAAAGACTTGGTAGAAATAATGCTACTCTACTTGACACAGAAGGTGTAATGATATTCATCTTCATCAGACAATTTGGCGGAGAAAAAAAATTTTATAGCTAATAAACTGCTTCAATCTGAGAAGCAGAGAATTGAAGAACGCAGAAATTCCATTTTAATTGGAATACTAAAATCTTTAAACAACCCGATTAGTTATAATCAGGAATCAAACATCAAATCTAAACTACTCTTACCGTCCAAACACTAGCACTAGTTCATCAAATAATGAAATAGTTGAAGTGAGCTGCGATAATGAAAGCATGGTTTCTGACCCGCCAACACCTCAACCTGTTGCTCCAAATTTATTAGACAAAAATATTTTGGCACTTCAACAAAAATTGGATGCGACTATTTGTAATGTCAAACAAGTAGAAAAACAGCTCTATAAAACAGCTTAGTAGAAAAAGCAGCTCTAGAAAAACTCCAGTCACAATGAAAAATTATGACTGGAGTTCATAATAAAGGTTGTGAACTCCAGTCACAACACAATGAAAAATTGTATACTGACAATCCTCAAAAGAGCAAAGATTGACTTAAGGTTCTAGTAGTTTTTTGTAAGATTTTGGCTGTAACCTCATAAAGTTGGCACTTGATACCAGAATCCAGAGATCTGGATTCATTGAAGGTTGACATTTTCTGGTGACAATGATGCTTAACTTCAAAAAGTTTTGCCCACCATCAATCCCAATTTTGATGATGCTGCTTGATTTGGAAATTCCTCCTAGAAATTCTTTAGACACCATGGCAACCAACTCAGATAGACTGATGCAATGCATGACCTTAATTGTGGAGTTGTCTTTGAAGCATCATAAATAGGTTTAAGTGTCCAGGAGTGAGGGGCATTGGTCTTTCACCTTGCACTCTGATCACTCATTTAGTTCCTTTAGACAAGGCTATTTTTTTACTCAATGACAGATACAGCCAAAATCTCTCACTTTGTAGTCAGTTTGCACACTTTTTTTTTTAATTTTTGAAATTTTTAACCTTTTGTACACCGGTGAGGAAACCACTTTTTGAGGCAAAAAGCGTACTTTTAAAACAGCTTTCATTTGAATATATATGTTTGTAAATGTGTTTGTAAAGGGATAAAAAAAAGTTTTTATCCCTTTTATAATACTTGATTATTTGTGTCTTTAAATGGCAAGTAGTTTCGCCAATATAACAGGATTTACAGTCTGCGCATCCAAATTTATAGACAATAAATGATTCAAAGTCTATAGGAAAGGAATCTTTTGCCGAAAAAAATTTGAAATTTTCAACGAAGTGAAGACCAATCTTATGGTGACCAATTTACAATAGCTTTTAACAATTTCTTTTAATTTTTGTTTTGGTCAAATCAGATATTTTTCCAATATAAAGAAGTTTAAAATATTGATAATTTTGTAAGTTTTCTGAACATAATGAAATATAAATATTGGTGTTGTTAATAAAAGAATTATGGATTTTCTTAATTAACCAAAATAGGTACAAGTTGCATTTGAGAACTTTAAAAAGATCATTAATATCATGGCTACAACCAAGACTAGTATTGTTTATTTTATAAGCTCTATCGATTAAACATTTAACCAGACTTACTTTATATAAAAATGAAGTAAAACTAAAAAAGTTTGTGTAAAGTCCCAAGAAAATTTTCTTATGAAAAACAGTGGTAACTGTGGAATTGTTTGTTTTATTTAGAGTTAGGTCCAAAAAAGATATTTTTTTGATTTAACTTCGTTTTCTATTTTAAAGGTAATAAAACTTTGTTTATTATTATTATACTCTAAGAACAAATTGGTTTAATTTCGGCATGTGAAAGCAGCATAAATGTTATCTACTACCAAACATTATTAAAAAACTAGTTTTTCTCCATTATATGATTTGAGCCATTCATCTTCAAAAATTCCCATGAAAAGATTAGCAAGAACAGGTGCTAAGAGAGAACTCATAGCAACACCATCAAATTTGTCATAAATCTGTCTTTTGAAAAGAAAATGAGTTTGAGATAATGCAAAATTGAAAAATTGAAAAAAAGACTTTACTATTTATAATGCTATTAATGGCAATATCTATTGTTTCTTGTAGTTGAATATTGGTAATATAAACTTACAATTTTATATATATACAGGGGCGTGTCTAGGGGATGTCTGCTACGTCGTTGGACGTACCCAAAAAAATTAAATAAAAGTTTTTTAACTTGATTATATTGTTGAAAAAAATCTTACTATATGTAACTATTAAAACCAAACTACAGCTAAAACTAAACAAATTATGCACGGTTAATTATCTGAAACGGTTGGAAAAAAATTAAAAACTGGAAAACGGTTCAAATTCCAAAATATTAAAAACCGGAAAATATTAACTCGGTTTCATAATTTTGCGATTGTTAAAATATATTAATTACAATATTTTGATGGAGGTTAAACTAACTTTTGAGTTAAATAACTTAATTAAAAACTTGAATTGAAATACCTTATTTTATTTTGTTATATAAAACTTTATTTTTTTAATTTTTTTTTTCATTGGTTTAAAAAAA